GGGGATTTGTACTTCTACATGATATAACTTGGTTTTTTCCCATCCTTCCTCTATCCTCTCTTCAACCCCTGCTTTCTCCTCAGAACACTTAAATCTTTCCCCTCAAGGGTTTCTAAAACCATGCCCCCTAACCCCTGTTGAAGTAATTGAGAAGGTGAGATGAGAGCAGCAGGTGATCTTTCCCCCATCCACCTCACTCAAAGGGGAGTGGGGCTAGGCCTGCCTGGGAATGGTCCTTTAGGAGAGAAGCTGACTTTCCACCCTTGTGTGCTCGCTTTGTTACCAAGTTTTCCAAGTCAGGAATGAGTAGAACTTCTGATTTGACTGGAGGAGGAAGAGACTGTCAGGCAGAGAGGGATTTTTGGCTTTCGGCTCTTCTTACCTGGATCTCTAGGTACTATGCTCTGGGATAGTGTTTTGGTCAGAGAAGACTTTCCCGAGCATTCATTGGTTGAACTGTGGCCCTCCTGTGACGCAGGTTAGGAGCATGTTCCACGACCACCCTGACTGCTGGTGTGCCTGGGAGCACTGCCGAGCTGCCCTAGAGCATGTTGGTCTGGCCATATCGGCTCGCCTGCAGTCTGTGGCGCCATCACAATGGGGGGCGGGGGGTACAGGGACAGCCTGGACGGACCTCACACCCCTACTGTGAGCTAATGGAATGGTGTGGGTGCCCTCATGACTTGGCTCTCTCAGGCCCCTGAGATGCAAGGAACATCTAGGCTGGGCTGAGACAAGCTCACTGGAGGCATGGCTGCAGCACTCTGATCCTGGGCCCTAGCCATGCTGCTGTGGCAGAGTGACCCAGGCCACCATCACCCCCACTTCAAAAGCCAGATTGCACGCTGCCAGCAAGGTAGGTGCTGGCCTGCGGTCTACGGCCAGCCCTCATGTTTCTCAGGGTCTTCAGGTCACAAACACCACGTAGAACTTCTGTTTGATAGGTAGTCACTGGCTGCATGTGACTGTTTAAATTAACTTTCAATGAAATGTGAAATTTAGTTCCCCAGTCACACTTGTCACATTTCAAGTGCTCAGTAACCTCCTGTGACTAAGCGCCTGCCAATCTCGGGTAGCAGTCACCACATGGGGATTGCCTGGCCATTGCCTCTGGTAACCTGCTCTATTTTGACCATGTCGCAACTGTTCTCTTCGCCCCAACTGTAAAGGTCATGTTGCCTTTGTCTGGCTCCCCACCTGCTCATTAGCTTCTCTTCCTAGGACTTGTTCCAGCTCTGCCCTGTGACTTACTGCACTTCCAATCCCCAAAGGCTCTGGTACCTTCATTTATGTCCCTCCCCCCACATCACAACCTGAGGGAATCCTGGCTCTCTTGAGGGAGCTTTCTGGGCCCCCATTGCCTACTTCTTGGCTTGGCTGCTTGTGGGGCAAGAAGCCTGTAAGGACAAGAGAGAAAGAGAGATTGAGCTTGCATCTGGATTGCATGCTTCTGGTGACAGCTTCTTGTAGCAGCTTATAGAGATTTGAGTGTGAGCAAGATGAACAAGGTAACCTGATGAGGAGCTAGAAAACCTCTGTGGTACAAACCAAGAGGAACTTTTGCATCTGTCTGCCAGGGAACCCTGAATGTGTGATCCGAGCTGTGCTCCAAGCAGAGGATATCTCCACCTGACCTGCACCATCTCTAAATAATTGCTGGGCTGACGGGCTCAGCTCTCAGTTCAGATTCTCTGCCCAGGCAAGCCCAGGTCAAGGGGAAGAGCTCTCAGCAAGAGCTCACTGTGTGTGCTCGGGAGGGGGTGTGTTTTGGGCAGGTGCCTGCCTGGCAGTAGGATGTTACTGCCAGTGTGGAAGAAATGCTGATTCTGGTTGTGCATAGTTCCATCAGAACAGAGTGGATGTGGCTCTGCGGAGTGGGCCCAAACCCAAAGTGACTTGGGCACTTGGCTCCCAAGCTGTTGTTTTTGTGATTGACTTTCCCTTCAATTACATACAGCTCTTTTTCACAGTAACTGCAGCCAAATTGGCTTAGTCACTGGGACCAATGCTTTTTTGTACCATTCCCAGGAATTTGTTTTCTTGTTTAGCAGAAAGCTCTAGACTGCAGTTACTGGTCCATAAGCTGGGTTGGGAGTGAGGCCACTCCAAGAGCTGTTCAGAGAAGCTGTATAGCTACTTCTCCAGAGAAAGAAGCGAGCCTTTTAGAGCCTGGAGCAAGCAGATGGATGCGAAGGCCTTGTGGCCGAAACACGCGCCTGGCTTCAGCACTGTGTGACTGCTTGGCAGTGAGCCAGCATGCATCTATTCCCGGGCAAATGAACCTGCTAAAAATAAGCAGGCAGCGATATAATTCCAACAGATTCAAAATAGCCGAGTGTCCCCCCACTGTCCTAGGGCAGGGCTCTGCAGCATCCCCGTGGGCAGCTTTCCTCTAACTGCAGGCTGGCCTGCCTCCCAGGCCTGGGGAGAAGACAGCCATGGAGGCAGCCTCACTTTGCTTGGGAGGTGAAGGCTCCAGAACCTATGATACTGAGTTCACTTAAATATAGGGAAGTTGAGATTTAAGGACAGAATACCCCAACAAGGACAGCATCTCATAAGTGTTTGCCACAGCCAGGGGAGGAAGGAAAGAACATAGCAGGAAACCTTGTGAGGCTGAAGGGGTAAACATGTGCACCTGTCCAGGGGTTGGTGGAGGGGCATAAGTTGCCTCTGGGAGTCCGAGGGCCTCCTGACATTAAGCATGCTTACCAATGCTCCTGAGGCTGGTGAGTTGCGGCCAAGGCCTATGAGTGTGTGGCTGCTGATCCCAGTGCCTCCAGTGTTGGTGAAGGATGGCTGTCTAATGCTAATCCTCAGGTAGCAAGTTAAAGATAAGCCTCAGCCTCAGCCTCAGGAGTTCCCTGCACTTGGAAGCAGTCCTAAGGAAAGGGCTGTGTGTCCTGATGTTCCTTGTTCCTTAGCAGCAGGTCTGGTGTGTAGCTGTAGCCCAGAGTGGGAGTGGAGGCTGGGGAGTGTGGCCAAGGGGAATCCTGGTGGATCATTCTAGATTCTGTGGGTTGGGGGGGGTCTGAGGTTACCATTTGTCCAGTACAGCCTCCTGGTGTAACAGGAGGGGGCAACTGTGTTTCCTGGGTTGAACCTGTCAGTTGAGTAGCTACAGATGATTTGCTGACCCATGTGAATGTCCAGATCCCAGCTGTACTTGTGTTAGCTTGTGCTCTCCTGACTACAGTCTTTCCCCTGTCAGATTGTCTTTACTTTTTATATGACGATGAGCACAAGGCACTATGAACCAAATCTGTAATCTACATTTTGGGATGTTCGAGGTTTTTTTGTAGAACAGAGATTCTCAAACTTGACTACATGTTGGAATCACTTGGGTTTAAAGAAAAAGAAATCTGGTGTTGATTCTCACCCTTAGAGAGTTTAATTTAATTGATCTTCTTGTAGCTTGGCCTGATGCTTTTAAGCACTTTCCCAGTGTTGCAAATGTGAATTTTCATTGGAGAACCACTGTTGGAGAAATTTTTCCTCTATTTGTATCCATAGATAAGAAATCCCAAGGAAGCTACTGAAAACTTACTAGACCTAATAAATGATTTCATCAAGATTGTAGGGTACAGAATTGATGTGTAAAATCCTCCTTCCCTTCTCCCTCAAACTGTATGGCTTGGTATATGTCTGCCAGATTTTCCATAGGATTATGTGGGCATCCCCATCACATACACCTTGGTCTGTAAGTTGCTTTTTGTGTTAAGATGCTTTATCCACGTCCATACACAAGACCCAATTCTTTACCATCAGTACTGTTATATCTGTGGATTTCACTGGATATTTAGCAGTGATTCCTCTAAAAGGTTAATTCCAATTTCTATACAGAGGTCTGATTTTTAAGATTACAGGTGTAGGATTTGTTCGTCACAATGTATGCTCACAGTATTTTAAGAGCTATTACTAAAGCTGTCCAAAAGGTAGTATGATCTTGCTCTTTTCTTGGCCAGTGTAGTACATCTTGCCTTATAGATTTGCTTGGTTCCAGATTTCATGTAGAATAAAAGCTGGATTCCCATTCTTTGCCCAATGACCTGAAGTCCCCCACCTACCTTGACACCCTCCTTGAACCCAGGGCCTTTTCACTGAGCTACATCCACAGCCCATTTTTATTTTTAATTTATTAAAAAATTATTTATTTGGGCTGGGGAGATAAGATAGCTCAGTAGAATAAGCACTTGCCTGGCAAGTGTAACATCCTGAGTTCAATCCTCAGTACCGCAAAAAAAATTTTTTTTTTAAATTATTTATTTTGAGGCAAGATCTCACTAAGTTTCACAGGGTGTGTTCAAGCTTAAGATCCTTGTGGGATTATAGGTGTATGGCCACCACATCCAGTGTGATCTTGAGTTATTTTAATCTTTAAGATAGTAACACATCCCAGACCAGGTGGTTGAGAGTTAAGTGATGCTAGGAGAGCATCTAACAGTTAGTGTTCGAATCTGAAGTGATAAGGGAGCAGCGTTTAAGTTTTCCATCCAAAGAGGTGAAGACAGTCACCAGAGCCCTGGCCCTTGCTGAGCCCAGCTCTATACTTCCCAGTCTCATTGCTGCATCTCCCATGTTAGCAAGCAGGCTCATCGTGAAGAGGAGGGAACTTTGTGCAGGTGACTTTGTCCCCTGTACTGCCTGTACGCTCATCCCTTTGGGGAGGCACATTGTATTCTAACTGTAGTGTGCTTGACTCCCTTGTTCAAATACAGCTGTGCTTCAGTGGGTCTGGGTGGGGCTGAGGTGCTGCATGCCCAGCCAGTTCCTCAGTGGTACTCAGGCCTCTGGTTGTAGACTGCAGTTTGAGAGGCAGAGCCCTGGGCTGGGAGTCCCCATCCTCTGCTAAGGTTAGAGCCACATGGAGAATGCTAAAGTATTTAGGCTTGTTATCTCCATAGCACAGCACCAACCCCAGTGAGGGGGTAACTCACTGTGTGCCCTCTTAACCTGGTTCTTGTAACACCTGTCTCTCTCTCTCCCACCTCCCTCCCCAGGCATAACTATTCTGCACCTCCAGGATGGCAGTCCAGTTCCGTTCACTCTTCCCCTTGGCGTTGCCCGGAATGTTGGCGCTCCTTGGCTGGTGGTGGTTTTTCTCTCGTAAAAAACAGCAGATCAGCAGCAGTGAAGAGCAGGCAGAGTCCAGTGCCATGACATTAAGGGCCGGCCCTGCCACCAAGGAACCGCTCTCCATGGGAGAAGCTTGTCCCACAGTCACGTCCATGTCTCCCAGTGTTCCCCAGCCGCCAAGAAAGGAGAAGACTGCTCTAAGCAAGCCTTCGATGGAGCCCCCAGCCTTGCTGCGGACGCACCTGCCCCACCACAGGTCTGAGTCCTTGGGCAGCCTGCCTAACACCACTGACATGCGGTCCCAACCGGGAATGTGCAAAGTCAACAGTGCAAAGGTGGAACTAGCTGTGATGGGGGACGAGGCCAAATCTGTCCCTCTGGGTTGTCCCCTCACATTCCCGAAGGATGTGCTATTCCCCCATGAAGTGGTAGAAGTATGTAAACAAGAGCCTGTCCTTGGTGGGGTGCCTGCCACAGAGAAGCATGACCCTGAGGAAATGGCAAGAGAGAGAGAGATGGGTGGAGCCGAGGGGACTGGTGATGCAGTGCTGGGGGAGACCATGCTTGAAGAAGGTCTGCTGCCCCAGGAGTGTGCCTTGGGCCCCGAGAATGGCAAGGCTCTCAGCCTGCCCCTGGTGGTCCAGCCAGTCGGGGCCCTACCGAAAGAAGAATACCCGGTTGCGAAGCTGTTAGGTGGTATTGTGGAGCCAGCTTCTACAGAGCTGGTGAAGGAAGAGGAAGCCCAGAGACTCCAGGGCACAGGTGGCAGAGCCAGGGACAAAGACCCAGTAGGAGAACTGAGCAAAGAGGAGGCCGTGGATGAAAACAAGAAGCTTGAGCAGGCTGCCTTCCAGATCATCTCCCATGTGATCTTGGAAGCCACTGAAGAGGTCCTGGCCACCACAGACCAGGCTACAGCCAGTCAGCCACAAAGACAGAAAGAGGAAAACTGTGGCCTAGTCAGCCGGGAAACTGTCCTGGTGCAAGACACTACAGAGCCCACCCTGGCCACAGCAGGGGCAGCTGCCAGCCCACTGGATACTGCCCTCCCTTCACCAGGCCTGCTGGCAGAAGACCTGCCACCACCAAAGACCTACGTGAGCTGCCTGAGCAGCCCTCTGTCCAGCCCCACCAAGGACAGGAAGCCAAAGAACTCTGCATACCCCATCTCCCTGGCTCCCTGCCTGCCACCAGACACTCCACTCAGAGAGTCACTGGATAAGACCAGCAGCTTGGTGGAAGATGCCACCTGTGTCTCCTGCATGTTGGACAAGAGCCACAGTGTCTCTTCAGTGGCCTCCTCAGGGCGGTGCTCAGATTCTGTCAGCACATCAGGGCTTGAAGACTCTTGCACAGAGACCAACTCAAGCCCCAGGGACAAGGCCATGACTCCACTGCTGCCAGACAGTACTGAGCCCTTCAGCAATGGGGTGCTGAAGGGGGAGTTGTCAGACGTGGGGACTGAGGATGGATGGAGCGTGGATGCAGAAGCAGACCACTCGGGAGGTAGGAGGATCTGGGGGAGCATACTTGAGGGTTAGGGAGGTCTTCCTGTATTGTTCGGGGAGAGCCGCTAGCCTGCCCCTTGCTCTGCAGCACAGTGATGGTGGCCCTTTACTGTGGCCCAGCGGGAGAAGCCAGGCCACCTGTGGCCCAGCAGCCACTGCACTGTCTCTGGCTTTGCCAGCCAAGGAGCCTCCCCAGCCCCTCAGAAGGTGGCAGCTCAACGTAGGGACCTCCATTTACCTTAGCGTGTTCTTTGGAACACTGGAGTTTAACAGGCCTCCTTAGCATTCTGCCGAGTGCCGGGTTCGGGTGTATGTCTCGGTGGCTGATACCTTCTAATCATGTGCTTGTTCCGTGTCTTCACCTGCTCTCCTTCTCCAGAAGCTCTTTCAGGTAAGTGCTGCAAGAACAGCTGCAACTTTGAATACCGGGAGCGCTGGCTTTCCTGCACTGTTGCTGTCACCACCTCCTCTGCAGAGCCTCAGCCATTTTTTTTCTGTGCAGTTGCAGTTCCACCCCGGGGAAGACGGGCACTTGGTAATGAAGTGTCCACTGGGTTTTTCGAGTGCTGACCCCAGCGTAGACAGTTCAGACCGCTAACTCACAGGTCAGCAGCTCCTGACCCTACTTTTGCAGTCCCCCAGGGTATTTCTAGTTATTTCCCAGAGGATACGAAGGCTCCTGAGTGGCCATCTGACTTGTTGATCCTGAAGCTATCAATTCCCTGCCATTTCTGCTCTATCCTGGAATTTGGGGGTCTTCCTCAGTGTTTTACCACTTTGAGCCACATGTGGTATATACCAGTTAAGGCTGCTATTGTTTAGGTATCTGTAGAAGAAAAAAAAATGTTGCCAGTCCTAATTATGGAGGGCCGGATACCACACAATACACTTTAATGTCAGGGATGTTATTTTAAAAGTTATGTCTTAAAAGGCATGAGAAGAAAGGTTTTTTTTCTTCCTCCGCTTGATAAATGAATCCCTCCGCTTTGTGATTCCCCACTGCGGATGGATTGCAGTCCCTGGGATGTGCAGGGGCTGCAGAGCCTAGTTCTGCCACACAGGGCGTGTACCTGAGCCCTGGGCAGGGCCGGCCCACAGTTCCAGTCAGGAGTAGCCTCCGATGCCACCTGTTGGCGGTCAGTGGGGCCACTGGAGCTGGCCTATGTGGTTCTGAGGCAGTGCTGGCAGCCATTGGCCTCTGCTATTGAGTTGGAGAGGAGCAGAGCCCCTGTTGGTCTGTGGCTGTCAGTAGGCTGCAGATACAGTCTCAGAAAGGTCTGTTTCCTGTCAGAAGCCTGGCCTGAGCCCCTTTCATGGAGGGTGGCAGTCACTTGCCTGTCGTGGCCTCTTTGGCCACCCAGAGCACGCGCACAGCTCTCGCAGTGTCATGGCCCCACTTCTGCTCTCCTCTGGAGAGTGAGCTTTGGGCCTGTGTTCTGAACCCCAGGGGGTACTCAGGGCTGCCCACCGGGCTTAAGCTGCGGCAACAAGGTCACCTTCTGTTGTCCATCAGGACTAGGGCAGAGCCCTCGGGAGAGCCAGTGAGGAGACTCATGCACCGCTGGGCTGAAGGCTGCTGCCTGGAGCAGGGCCCTGGGCCCAGGACTTAGGGATGGAGACCCCTGTCTGAGGGGCTGGCACGCTTGGAAGGGTGTCAAGGTGGCTGGGACAGGCTTGGGGTTAGCTCCGGGGGCAGGCGGACTTGTGGGCTATCCCCTCTTGCACCCCGGGCCTTCCCTTCCTTGAGGCAGAATCCACCCCTTCCCAGTTCACCACGTGTGCTTGTTCCAGCAGCTGTGACCTGCACGGCTGCCAAATAAACAAGTGGGCCCGTGGAAGGCTAAAATTAGGTGTATCGATCCCCAGGCCTCCTCTTCCTGGGCCTTTCCTGAGCCGCAGACTAAGTTTACAGCCGTACCTGCTGGGCCAGGGAGGTCAGTGGCTCAGAGCCAGGGTCTGTGTGTGCACGGCCTCCTTGCAGGTTCTGATGGGAACAGCATGGACTCAGAGAGCTGCTGTGGCCACAGGAAGAGTGACAGTCTCCAGAACGCCCCGGCTGGCTCCAACCCCAAGAAGGTCGACCTCATCATCTGGGAGATCGAGGTGCCAAAGGTACAGGGGCACCCAGGGGACCCTCTGGCTTACTGGGGGGTGGAGCAGGGACCAGGAGCCCTGTGGCCTTGAAAGGCCCCCTCCTGAGCGGACTCCAGCGAAGGGAATGCTTGGCTTTGCTAGGGTTTGGGGCTTGCCCAGCCATCCTCGGGCATCCTGGCCCTGTGTCTGTACTCCTGTGTGCTGGGCTCAGGTCTCCCGGCAGAGGCTCTAAAACCCAGACAGGGCAGCCACATCCCTTCCCTGTGCCCTGCTCTGGCTCTGCAGTATAAAGTATTTTAGCACTGAGCAGACTATAAGCCCATGTGTAAAGGATTTGCAAAGCATAGAAATGTGGAAAAAAATAAAAACCCACTCTAATCTTACCTCTGAGGGTGACTGGTAAGACTTACTTCTTCCTCATCTCATACCTTCTGGTTTTTAACTAAAACATAGATAGTGTTGCTTTAGTTAATACTTTCAAATTTTCAACATTATTTTCCGGACAGATTGTATGAAAACCTAGTTTTAAGTGCAGTCAATATTCATCTTATGAGTGGCACATTGCTTCCCCAGTCCCAGTTTCTTGGTGCTGGAGTGGTTTCTGGCCTCTGACCCTTACAGATTACCAACCTATTAGCGTCATCTGTAATGTTCGTCTCTGGGGCTCAGATGCAGTTGGTAAACTGCTCTCCCAGGGCACTGGGCTCTCTGCTGAGGGGAACCGTGGCTCAGTCAAAACTGGGCCAGGAGAGCTGCTGGCTTCTGCTGTGGCTTCCTCCCCAGTGACCTCGTTAGCAGAACTGACTGCCCTCTGTGGTGACAGGGCATGGCAAGGCGAGCTGGGTGAGGAGGGGCTGGGTCCCTCATAGCCTACTAGGCAGGGTCATCTGGGACTGGTTTTGAGCTTGTCTCATCCAGGCTGTTTGGCTTCTCTCTGCCTTGAACCCTGGGTCACTGGGTGCTCTGTGTGTCTTGTGCGCTGGTGGCTTCAGCCACTGACCATTGGTAACAGGAACTTGAGCTTCTTAGGCTTTCATTTTCTGTTTCGTTTGATTTTTTAGAAGTATCACTATGTTGTTGAGGCAGGCCTTTAACACACTGTGTCACACAGGCTGACCTTGACTCACAGCAGTCCTCTTGCCTCAGCCTCCTAAGTGCTGAGATTATAGGCCTGTGCTCCCACACATGGCATGGCCTTCATTTTCAAATGGAGCCCTTTTCCGATGACCTGAGTAGACTCAGGCACAGCGGGTGGAGGTCCATAGTGAGCCCTTCTGCTGGGAAAGTGCTCGCAGTGCATGTGTGGTGAGTGCATGCTGCCTCCCTGGGTCTGGGCTACATCCTCAGAACGCCATACAGACTTTTTTTTTTTTTTTTTTTTCAGAACCAGGGATTGAACTAAGGCCATTGCACTTGCCAGGGAAGCGCTTATTCTACTGAGCTATCTCCCTAACCCCTCACATCCTCAGAACGAAATGAGCCTTGTTCAACTTATAGTTTATCATTTTGGGCGGATCCCTTAGCCTTTTGAGACTGTGAAAACATTGATGAAATGATGTGTTTTGCTGAACCTGGTGGCATGTGCCTATAATCCCAGCATGCAGCAGGCTAAGGTGGGAGGCTTACACATTTGAGGGCCACCCTGAGTTCATAATGAGACCCTGTCTCAAAAAGAAAAAAAAAAAAAAAAAAACCTTGTTTCCCAGGCATTATAGTATAAGTACTTAGAGAAGTACTGGCAAATAAATGCCAACACAGTAAGAGTTAGAAAGACTTTGTATAAAACAAAAGCAGGTCTTCCGGACATAGTGAATTGGTTTCCTGTTAACCCTCTCCTCTCTCTCTGTCCCCCTGGAAGCACTTAGTTGGCCGGCTAATTGGCAAGCAGGGGCGGTACGTGAGTTTCCTGAAGCAGACTTCTGGTGCCAAGATCTACATCTCAACCCTGCCTTACACTCAGAACGTCCAGATATGCCACATAGAAGGTCAGTGGCCGCTGCTACAGTGTTCTAATTTTCTTACCTGAAATATAAGTAAAGGGAAGCATTTGAGGGCTAGTTGCTGTCCTTTTTGAATTACTTATTCTGAGCAGAAACTGCTTTTTATCCCAGCCAGCAGGAGTGTCTGGTATTTTTCCTCCAGCCTTTAGAGGTACTCAAAGGGGACTTGGGTCCCACCCCACTAGACCTCTGGCCAGAAGAGTCCTACACACTTAAATGATCAGGGCCTGGGCCTGGTCAGTGGTGCCTGGCACCCTACACAGGCTCTTTTTCAGGGCAGCAGGCTCCTTGGTTGAAGAGGACTGGGCCTTTCCCCACCTGCCAGCTGCCTCTTGGTTCACAACCCAAATCAGAATGGCAGAAGTATCACTGAACAGGTGAATAGGCCTACACAACTTTCTTGGTAAAGCAAAGCTTAGCATTTGCACCTTAAAGATACCCTTGAACTCCAGAAGGAGTCCTGAGGGGCTTGGGGTGATTTTGTGTTTGCTGTGACTTTCTCTTACCCTCTGGGATTGTGTGTCTTGTCTGTCCCCTTTAGGTTCTCAGCATCATGTAGACAAAGCTCTGAACTTAATTGGGAAGAAGTTTAAAGAACTGAACCTGACCAATATCTATGCTCCCCCGTTGCCTTCCTTGGCGCTGCCTTCTCTACCAATGACGTCCTGGGTAAGTGTGCTCTGCCCTGGGCCTCTGCCAACTGAGAGACTCCTCAGACTGTCAGCCAAGAAGGCCATGATACGTGATGGCCTGTGCCCTCTCCCCTCGGGCCTCCACTGCTGTAGCCCACGTCTCTGCACAAGGGCAAAGTACTAGCTCCTAGGGCCTGCACAGGGGACTAGTGCTCTCCTGGTTCTGCTGCCTGGATAGGTTTGGTGTGTTCTAGGCATTTCCTTGCAACTGGTTTCCGGGTGATGATGGATGCAGCAGTTGTAAAAGCCCACACCCATGTCCTAACCCAAGAGGCCTGGGAGGCCTGTGATGGGCCGTTCCATTCCTTACTTGCAGTTAGTTGAACCAGATTAAGGAAGAGCTCCCTTCCCTCACTCTCCCAGGCACTGCCTGAATTAGTCTGTCACTGTGACGTTCTCCCAAACTCCTTGGCAGTTTGGCAGGAGGAGGAGGAGCTGCCATCTTCAGGGCCTGTGGACTGGCTGCTTGGGGCCTGCCAGTCATAGCCTGCGGGGTATGTGCCTCTGGCCCAGTTGGCCTCTTCTTGCCAGCAGACAGGCAGAGTTCTGTGGGCCAAAGACCAGCAGTGTTTCACACGGGTAGGCTGCACATGTTCTTGTGAGGATGGCTCCTTTGGGTTTGGTTTTAGCACGGTGGACTTTGCAGCCTGTGTCCTCCTGAGCAGTGGCCTTGGCCTCAGGGGAAGAGCTGAGTGTTGCTCTCCTGTGGATATGGGGACTGTCCTGAGCTGCAGTCCGTAAATCGGTTTATCCAAGGAGACTTGGCCCTGGACTGCCTCCGCATCTCTTGTCTCTCTTGCTCTTACTGGGGAATAGACTATTCTTAACAATAGGGTGTTTTGTGTGGCCGATTGCATTTCTGCTTGGCCCTTTGGCTCTCAGGGGAGCTTCCAGGGCTCCTGGCCACAGAGCTGGGTAGGCACACAAAGGCCAGGGCTCCTGGCTAGAGGACGCTCTTATTTCTGGAGCTGTTGGGCTTAAAGGTGGAAGGCACAGTGCGGCCCAGAGACTACTTGCTGGCTGACTCTTGGCATCAAGAAAACTAGTGCCTGGGGGATGAGCCTTGTAGAAACACACTGGCTAGTGCTAGGTCCTGGCTGCTGAGTGTAGCTGCGGGCCAGCGCCCCAGTGCCCCAGTGAGAATGAATCAGACCTCTGTAGAGGGAGGGGAGCAGGACCTGGGGGCCAGGGAAAGCCAGAGAGGAACAAACAGGATGCAGACTCTGGTGCACTTTGGCGGTGGACTCCAGGCTGCTGCCTGCTGCTGAGAAGGCCAAGCAGGCACTGGCAGACCGAAGCTGAGGCCAGCCAGCAGCAGGCCCAGAAGTTGCTGGGCTGGCCTGTGGGCTGCCCATTCTTGTTCCTAGGCACTTTGTTCTTAGTGGTCACTCGCTCCCTTTGTCTTCCCTGAGTCTTGTGGCTTCCCCAGAAGAGAAAGAGACTGGAAGGGGTGGGGCTGTTACCTGAGAGATAGACCCTGAGGCCTGGCTCTGCAACCTCCTTGTCCTAAGGCTGTCTCAGTTGGCTGCTCCTGGTACTGTAGGACAACAGCCACAGCAGCTGAAGTTCTCATACCTCTGCCTTTGGGTGCCCTGTTGTTTTGGGTTGTTGTGCCCCCTTCAGAGATGTACCAGCAAGGTCTCAGGATCTAGCCCAAGTAGGAGAAGGATTGATGCAGTGTCTGCTGCCTCTTCCCCCTACAGCTCATGCTGCCTGATGGCATCACTGTGGAGGTGATCGTGGTCAACCAGGTCAACGCCGGGCACTTGTTTGTGCAGCAGCACACGCACCCCACCTTCCACGCGCTACGCAGCCTGGACCAGCAGATGTATCTCTGCTACTCTCAGCCCGGAATCCCCACCTTGCCCACTCCGGTGGAGAGTAAGCGCTGCCCTGGGGGCTTCTGACTGTCCAGGCTGGGGGTGGCCTGGTCTTGGCGCCTTGCTGGGACAGGACCCCTGAGTTCCTGCCATTGTCATGGAGTTTATTTTCTGGCTAGCCAAAGCTAATGTTTCCATTGGCTGGCAGAGCAGTGGGATTGCAGTGGAATTTTGACACATGGATTCAGATCCTGGTCTTGCTGTTTTGTGAATTGGGTCTTTCTGCTTATTTGGGAAGCAGCTTGGAGACTGTGGAGGTCCTGCAAAGCATTTCTGGAGTACACTGGCCCTGATAAAGATCTTAAGCCCAGGGGGCTGGTGAGATGGCTCAGTGGTCTAAAGCACCTACTTAGAGCAAGCTTGGCAGAGTACAGGGACCTCGGTTCAATCCCCAGCACCACATGCCAGCCAGCCGCGCCCCCTGGTGGGCTGAGCTGGCCATGCACACACATACATAAATAAATAAAATGTTTAAATTAAAAAAAAAAAAAAAAGATCTTAAGCCCAGCACACCCATGCATTGGGTTGGCCAGCTCCAGGTGACAGGGGAGGAAACTGCCTGTGGAATGAGTCTGGTCTGCTGTGGTGTTACTGAGCAGGAGCTGGATCCACACTGACTTTTGTCACTTTGATCCATATTAGAACACCTATTTTGTGATTTCTTTTGGAGGAATAAGGATATAGTTTTCGTCAGAGTCTCTACCCTGTCAGTAAAGCTGAGGAGACTTAGAGGTGGCTGTACCAGCAGCTCTCTTTAAGGGGTGGGACTCAGTGCAGTCAGCCCCTGCTGCCCCAGGGTGGGACTTGGTGCCCCTTTGGAGCACAGCCTTGCTGACTGCCTGGGAGCTCTTTGCTCCTCCTAAAGTGAAGGCTAGATGATGGGGGTGGAGGGTGCTGGCCAGCGGGTGCCTCCCTCAAGCACACACTCTTATTGTCATGGGCTGGAGCAGACCCCAGGTGCCAGGCCCCCAAGACCTGCTGGGCTTGGAAGTTCTTGCATCTTTCATGGAGTTTAAGAAAGTAAGGCAGACCTAGCCTCCACTCTGCACACCTGTTTTGCTTGGTTTCCCCGGTTAGTGTGTGCATCTCAGGCCTCAGGAAGTTTCAGGGTGGTAGTTCTGGATGGACTGCTTTTCAACACAGAGGAGTTTCTTTGTTGGACTGAATGTCCCCACCCAGGTTCTCCCTTGGACTCATCTTGGGCCCTGAAGGAGTCCTTGCTGGTGACTCCTCCCTCCTCATGGAGATACAGGCCTCTAAGGAGGATTGTGGGGTGTGAGTGGCAGGCACCAGGTGGGGCTCAGCACCCCACTTGGGGCTCAATGTGTCCTCCCTTGCTCTGTAGTCACGGTCATCTGTGCTGCCCCTGGTGTGGATGGGGCCTGGTGGCGAGCTCAAGTGGTGGCCTCTTACGAGGAGACGAATGAGGTGGAGATCCGCTATGTGGACTATGGCGGGTATAAGAGGGTGAAGGTGGATGTGCTCCGGCAGATCAGGTGAGTGGGGCCCTGCCCACAGCCCCGTGCCCTGCTTGATGTGCAGCAGCTGGTGGCTGCCTTCTCCCCGCTGAAGACGAGGTCCTCCTTCCCTTCCCTGCCGTCTTGGCTGGTGGGGTGTGGCCCGAGCAAACCCAAGGACTCCCAGCCACCCCAGCCAACTGTCAGGCATCTGCAGTGGGGCTGCCACTTTCAGAGTTCAGTGCAGGAGCCCCGAGGTCAGGCTTATAGCAGGGCCGCCTGCCCATGCTGAGGAGCGCTGCCTCGCACAGGGCTGTAGGTGTCTCTGCTAAGCACAAAGTGCATCCAAATGTCAGAGGTGGTGCAGCCAGCCTCACCTCTGGGGCCATGTTAAACAAGTCCCTTTTTTGCTTTTCCAGGTCTGACTTTGTGACCTTGCCATTCCAGGGAGCAGAAGTCCTTCTGGACAGCGTGATGCCCCTGTCAGGTAACAGGCCCCTGCTGCTGCTGCTTCCACTCTTGGCAAGCTGCTGGTTGCATAGGTCTGGGCCATGGCCTAGAGCTTGCACTGCCAGCAAGTTCCCAGGCAGTAAATAGCAGGGCTGCTGGGTGGAGAGCCGTCTTTGGGATCCACTGCTCTAAACTATTCAGAATGCCCAGAGAGAGCCTTCCAGTGGGGCTCCTGCTGGAATGCAGCCCAGGCCTGGAGAGGGCGGGCTGGTACAGAGCCAGCACCTACGCAGTCACTGCGCCTCAGGACACTGTGAGGACTGAGAAAGCATTGCCAGAGGAAAGGAGTCTGACATTAGCCTTGGTTTTCACCTCTGGAAAACGGGATGGTATAGGTCTTTGGGGAGGGGGCTGTGAGAATTACGTAAACCGAGGCAGTGGTGGTGAAGATGGTCAGCCAGCAGCTACTGAAGGCTACAGGGAATGGTCCGTGTGGCCCCTCGCCTTCATGCCACCCCTTGTGCCACAGACTGGCCCCCTCGCGCTTGTTCTTGTGTGCCTAAAGCAGACTCCGTAAGCCCTTGGTCTCCCTGGAGTTGTGGTAGATGAAACACTGGGCAGTGTGCCTGCTTTGGTTTTTTCCCTTTCACCCAGCCTTCCTTTCCCTCTCTGTTCAGCTGGCCAATCTGTCTAGATCCACCTGTCTTAACACCTGTCTTACTTTTTCTCATTGCTGAGACAAAATACCTGATGCCAGGAAGGAGGCAGGGATTGTTTGGCTCACAGTTTGTAGAGGTTTCAGTCCATAGTCAGCTGGCTCCATGGCAGGGGGGCATCACAGAGGAGCTCCAAGCAAGTGGAGAAGGCAGCAAGTGACAAGCAATGAGCAGTGACCCTTTCTCTGTCTCTGTGTCTTTCCCAGGCTCTCTGTCCTAGGGTGGGTAGTGCTCACGCAGGTGGGCAGCCTTAATCTTAGCAGCACAAGGGGCCGGGGAGATAGCTCAGTAGAATAAGTGCTTGCCTGGCAAGCGCAAGGGCCTGAGTTCAATCCTCGGTTCTGCCAAAATTTTTTAAAAAAAGGTTAAGAAATGTAGATAGTCTCATGTGGATTGTAATTATACTTTGAGCATAAATAAGAATGATTTCTTAAAAAAAGAACCTTAGCAGCACACCAGGAGTGTCTCAGCAACTCCTCTCTGGGTCTTCACCGGCCAATCAGCCTTGGCTCGCTGCTAACACCTGCCTTTGGGTGCTGCTGATTGTCTGCCTGAATAGACCCAAGCACAGCTGGCCACCACCTGGGTGGGATGGCATTGCCATCCAAGGCAGCCTGTCCTTTGTCTTCCATCCTCAGGGGTTCGCATGCAGGAGGGACCCTGTGTTTATCACCCACATCGCAGAGAGGCCAAGCTGTGCCCAAGTGCAGGGCTTAGCGGCCTCTGAAGTGTCCTGCTTTGGCTCCCCTAACAGTTGCATAGGAGACAAGAAAGCTTTTCCTTGGTCAGTACCTAAATGTTGCTTTTCCTCCTCCCTGTAAAGACGATGACCACTTTTCACCTGAAGCAGATGCAGCTATGAGTGAGATGACAGGAAATTCAGCGCTGCTCGCCCAGGTGTGTGGAGGGGTGGGAGGGGAATGGGTAGGGCAGGGAGCCTCCTGCCTCGCCCGTACAGGCTTCTTGGGACCTGACCTTGAAGTTCTTTCCTCCCCCCGCCCCACCCCCTGCTTCCTCCTCCCACGTGGGTCTTGGGTGGCCAGCAGGTTTTGAAAGTGCAAGGAGTAGCTTTACAGCATTCTTTTCCTTCTCTTTAGGTGACGAGTTACAGTCCAGCTGGCCTCCCTCTGATCCAGCTGTGGAGTGTGGTTGGAGATGAAGTGAGTTCTTCTCTTCTGTGCATCAGAGCTGCCTGCTGGTGGTCGAGGGCTCATTGGGAACTGGTTCTGACACTGCTGAAGTAACTAGAAACCAGTACCACCCAGGGGACACTTTGGGGCGTGGTCATGTTGGTGCATCTAGTCCCAGGGGCTGAGGGTGCTGCTAGGAGCCCTGAAGTGCCAGGAGAGATCCTCCCAGTGCAGAGGTACCCAGCCCAAAGTGCCATGAGTGCTGAGGTGGGAAACCCTGCTCTTGACCTTCTAAATTCTTCCAGCTACTGGGTTTTTCTGTCCTTATGGTATCAAAGCCTAGTTTCAATTTCAAAGCATATTGAAAGCCTGCCCTCATGCCATGGGACAGCAGCATTTATAGAACCTTTGTTAGAGTCAGGCCTCATGTGTATATGTGCTCCCTGGCTGGGAGAGATCGGGGAGATTCCTTGCTGGCTCAAGGGGTGGCCCTGAAGGCTGTGGGCAGAGCTCTCACGACAGCTTTGTTTTCTAGGTGGTGTTGATAAACCGGTCGCTGGTGGAGCGAGGCCTTGCACAGTGGGTAGACAGCTACTATGCGAGCCTCTGACCCTGGCCGCTGCTGCTGCTGGAGTCTTTTTTTGCACTGTTGGGACTGGGTGTGGGCCTCAAGGCAAAGCTCCAAGCTGAGACTCAGCATCATCCTCTTGAGTCCTCTTCCCTATTCTGTATACCATCAAGAACATGATTTCTTTCTGAAGAAAAAGGACTCAACTGTGGGTTCTTTCCAGAGCCATAGGGTGGCTTTCCAAGAGCCAGCTGGCTTGCCTTTGCTGAGTCCCCAGGCTGTCCTCTCCCCTGTACCCCTCCTCCCCACTGGCACCCCAGGCTGCCACAGCAGGCCCAGGTGGGTAAGTGTTGCGCTGGAGGAGTTCCTCCCGCTTCCGCCTTTCTTCAGGGACGGCGTGAATCAACTATGGGTGTTCGTTCCCTGCATGGCCTGCACAGATGGCTTGGTGGCATTCGTGCAGTTTGTGCCCTTCTCTGGGAAGCCGGACTCTTTTTAATGCAGATGTAAATATGGAGTGATTGTCACACATCTGGCCCCATCTTAGGGAGGGGAGCAGTGAATTGCCAAGCCTGGTTGTAATTTCTAACCATTTTCTACTTGTGCAAACTGTAAATATGTTTAAAAATGTAATATTTTGTACAAGATACACTGGAGAACAAAGGGAATTCAAGGTTTTTCCACACGCCTCACCTGTAAGAAGTGAGTCCCGTGCTGCCCGTCCGGCTCCTCCTCCCGGGAACGAGCTTCCTGTGTACCAGACAGGGTGAGCACATGGGATAAGCTGTCGTTGGGGGAGTTTTTGCTGTACACATTTGTTTAAAAAAAAAAAAAAAAAAAGGAACTCATCGAATTAACTTGGAATGGTGTGTTTAATTCTTTCTTTTTTTTTTTTTTTTAAGATTGGCCCCAGCATTGTGCAATTTAGGAATAACTTAAGTAACTTAAACTTATATAAATCTTGAGTTACATAAACTATAGCTTTGAGTCAGTCCACTTTTTCCCCCAGTGGTGAAAAGTGTCGGGCAAGGATGGGGAGTGAGGAGGTGGGTGTGTGGTAGACCAGAGGGTCCCACTAGGTGCCTCACAGGAGGGCTCCTAGTGGAGGTCCCTGGTACTCTGAAGACACTTTGGCCCTGAATTAGCTTGACCTTGCTCCTCCGTAACACCCCCTGCACTCCCCAACACACACCAGATGGTAGCCAGGCCTCCTGTGGCTTTTCCCACGGGCTGTCTTAAATAGCTTACCCTAAATAGCTTACCCTCACCTTGCAACGTGCTGGTTTCCAGAACCTGTTGTACAGTCTTCAGTTGTATATTAACAGACCTGTGGGCTCACTGGTTCTCTGCAGTGCTGAGAACTTGTAAATATGCATGCATTGGAGTGAATAAGCCTTGATCACAAGGCAGCAGCCCCTCCCTGCCTTGGGACCTACCTGCCTGCAGGGTAGTGGCTCAGCCCCAGACTTGCCTGAGGGTACACATGCAGAGGAGACTTCCTCCAGGGTCTCTGGTGCCAAGTACCCCACACCCCTCCTGGTGTCTCCAGCCCTACTCTGCAGGATGCTGGCCCTCTGGTTCTTATTCTAGTGGGGTTATCACTGCTGCAGTGGCCTGTCTTCCCTCATCTGTAAGGTCGCAGAGTAGTTTAGTGCATTAAAGCAGCTAAGTGAGCAGGGAGCTCTCCTGCTGCGGGCCCTGGCCTGGTGGTTACCACAGACACAGCCTAGGGTAGTGAGAGCTAGCAGAACCCGACGTGCAGATTGGCCTTTGTCTTGGGCAGTTTGGGAATATGGGGCCGGTGAGGGCTACAGCCCAAAGCCCAGGCCGACCTAAAGAGGTCGAAGGGCCCCCTGAGGGCCTCGGGGTGCGATGGGCTGCACTCCTGGGTTTCATGATGCTGACTTCGGGCAGTGTGGTTTGGAGCTGGGAGGAAAAGTGAGCTGGAAGGCAGTGAAGCCAGGACTGCTTCTCACACTGGTGGTGCAGGCCACTTGCTGTCCTGGTGATCCCAGCAAGTACATTTCAATGCCTTTTTAGAATTATAGGGGGTGCTTCACTATCAGCTGGAAACTCGGAAGAAACCCATGCTGGAGAGGTTTGGGAGCTCATCCTATGGCTGGGAGAGGCAGAGGCTGGATGTAGGAGGTCAGGGCTGTTGCTGCAACTGTTTGTCCTGAGGGGCGTGGAAGACCAGGATGGAGCCCTGGTCCACTTGGAGCTTGCGTTCTGGGGGCTCTGCCGTACCCCAGACAGCCTTGGCTATGCCTTATTTATTATTTTTTTTTTAAAGTTTATTTATTGTGTGTGTGTGTTTGTGTGTGTGTGTGTGTGTGTGTGTGTGTGGCCAGCTCAGCCCACCAGGGGGCGCGGCTGGCTGGCATGTGGTGCTGGGGGATCGAACCGTGGTCCCTGTGCTTTGCCAAGCTTGTTCCATGTAGGTGCTTTAGACCACTGAGCCATCTCGCCAGCCCTTGGCTATGCCTTAGTTAAGATCAGCGTCTGCTAGAGGAGAACCAATGTCACCTTTCACCATCACAGCTATTAGGGCTTGTGTCTCAGTGTTCCCCCCAGAGCCTCAGGCACCTTTTGCAGAGCTGACTGGATCTAGGGTGTGTGAAGCTAGGATTAAGGGTTGTGGGAGCTAAATAATCAGTGTATTGATGAGTTTGGCAGCACCCTAATCCCATAGCCTAGATAGCACATGAAAGAGGCAGAAAGAAGCTGTCAGGGTCCTTTTCTTGCTCTTGCCTTCCTGCTTTGCTGTGGACTCTCCTCTGCGATGCCCCTCTGCCATGCTACCTGCCTCAGAATCAGACAACTGTGAACCAAACCTTTCCTCCTCTAACTTTGGGTGATGGGTATTTTGTCTCAGCAACAAGAAAAAGAACACACATGCTTAGGAGAAAACTAGGTTGGTAGCTGAGTTCTGAGGGATGGGGGTGCCTGTATGTCAGGCTGTCACTTGGACAGGGAATGCTGAGTCCTGGTGGCCACACAGTGAGGCAGGGATGCCTTACTAGGTGAACAGGCTTATAGGAGGCAGGAGGTGGTGGCGTGGAAAGGTCCTGCAGCTGGAGCAGGGCTGAGACACCACACCAGGTGGTCTCCTGCCTATGCCTTTCCCACCACTGTGCCATAGCATGGATTCACCTCACCCGTCTGTGTCCCCCAGGAGATGTGTGGCCGCTTGGTGGTCAGCCTGGGGAAATGTTTCCAAGCTCATGTGGGAGAAAACACTGTGACAAGGGAGATCAGTGATTCTCCTGATGTGAAAGGTTAAAGTTTAAGTAACATGAAAGTAAAGCCAGAAGTGGCATCAGGGCCAAAGGGCGAATGGCTTTAATTTATGATGATTTAGAAGGAAAACTGTCTTCACTGCCAATGTCATAAAGGCCATGGATAGAAAAGAAAGCCTGGATCTGTTTCCAGAAACACAGTGTAAGCCATGTATTTGATTTAAAGTTTCCCAAGAATGACAGTAAGAGTAAAGAGACAGCTGGAGCCGCAGCTCTGTGGTGGAGCATTTGCCCAGCATGTGTGAAGCCCTGGTTTGAATTCCAGCACCTCCAGAAAGGGGGCAGAGAATGGAGAATATAATAGTTTACATAAGTCTCCATTTGGGTATGTAATCAACATTAAAAATGAATCTACAGTGTTTTTCATGTTTTGAAGTCAAGCACAGGGGCTGGGGAGATAGCTCAGCTGTCTAAGCACCTGCCTGGCAAGTACAGGGACCTGGGTTTGATTCCTGGCACAGCATGCCATGCTGGCCACTGAGAGTGGGTGTGGTGGCTCATGCGTGTAATCCCAGTACTGGGGAGGCTGAGGCAGGAGGATCACTACCAGTCTGACTTGTGTAATGAGACCCTGTACCAAATAAAAAGAATATTTTTAAAAACAAAGAAAGAAACAGAAAAGAAAGAAATCAAGCACATATACTTCACAGTGCCAGTGTAGCTATTTAAACTATCCACATGCCAGGGACTCTGTGGTCACTGTTGAGTCGTGGCTACTATGTTAGTACAAGGCCAGACTGTTCCATCAGCCTCTACCATGTGAACATTTACAGCTGTATGTATTTTTTTTTCTTAAAAAATGCTTTAAGTTTGTGTGTGTGTGTGTGTGTGTGTGTGTGTGTGTGTGTGTGTGTTTGCTTTTGTTTCATAGTTTTGGCTGGCTTTGAACTCACTGTGTAGCCCAGACTGGCCTCAAACTCAGCAATGCTACTGCTTCAGCCTCCTGAGTGCTGGGATTGCAGGCTGTGCTACCAGGATTTGCCCTGTATTCTTTTCATTTCTTTTTTGCCAGGCAAGCGCTTATTCTACTGAGCCATCTCCCCAACCCTGCCCTGTATTATTTCCTTAAAGCCTATTCCTCCTGCTCCTCCCAATCATCTCCCTCTACCTTTTTCTTTTCCAATTTTTGGAGGCAGAGAGTCTCTTTGCTATTCAGACTTAAAACTTCTAGGCTCAAGGATTCTTCTGCTTCATCCTCCCAAGCAGCTGAGACTGGGCGCAGACCACCATGCCTGTTTGCATATTTGTTGTGCTTTTTTTTTTTTTTTTTTTGTGGTGCCAGGGATTGAACTCGGGACCTTGCATTTGTCAGGCACTTAGGCTGCTGAGCCGTGCCCCTATCCCTCCTATTTGCTTTTCTAGATGAACTTTAAATTCACTTTTTGGGGAAGGGACAAAGGTAAATGTCCTAGCAACATTTGAAATTTCAAATGCATATTATTAGGTAGGTATACAGTTTTACATACTCTGTTGTAAGCTAGGCTTCTAAATCATTCAAACCCATTGGTTTTCTTTGTCACCTTTCCACCCCCTTTGGTCTATACTGTCTGTCTCTTTCTAAGAAAAAGACAATAAATGATTCTGCTATTAATAGCTATTCTGCTAAGAATAGCTGTTCCTTAAAAGCTATTTTTATAAATCTTGGTTATGTTCCTTAGTACAGAAAGCTTCAGGAGAGGCATTTTCTCACCGCTATAAAATATCTTCGGTATTCAGGAGTTTTTTGTTTGGAAGTTGACAGCCTTTTTCTCTTAACTTTACTTGGGTGGCTCATAGACAGCACATTGCTTCGCGCGCGCGCGTGTGTGTGTGTGTGTGTGTGTGTGTGTAGCTCTGGAAAAATGTTAGGTAAATTTAATTCATGGATTATGATCACTGAGGCAGTTTTTGCCATTTGAATTCATTTTCTTATATTTTT